GGATCCGCGGGGTCAACGGGCCGAGGCAGAGTGTGGGACACAGAGGCTGGAGGCAGAAGCAAGGGATTCTCCAGCCACGCCGACGATGGAGACTGGCAGACTCGCACCGAACAGATGGTGGGCTGAGGGTGAGCAGAGGGGCTGCCAGACGACAGCGGTGGAGGAGGCAGGAGCGGGCAGGTGGGTGGCTATCCGTGAGCCCCCGGGCTCTCCGGGCCGATGTGTGCTGCCCACACACACCAAATCGCGACTCCCAGCACCAGGAGTGTGTCAGACAGAGGAACAACAGGGCTGGCAGACAGTTCAGGGCAGACTGGTAAGTCCGAGGAAGGTGGGAGGAAAATGGGCATGTCTGCATATATATCTGCCTCCCAGTCTATTAAGTCCCCTTCAAAGTCCAGCAGTCCCAGGTACAGCCAACACATATACACACACACACACACACACACACACACACACACACACACACACAGATGTATACACACATATACACACACACATATAGATGTATACAGACACACACACACACACATGTATACACACATACGCACAGATGTATATATACACACACACACACACACATAGATGTCTACAGATACAGAACATGGAGCTGAAGACGATCAGTTCTCAGCACACAGTGTAAAATACAGCTCTCATCTTGACGCTGACGGTAATAAAGCACAAACCGAGTCTCTCTGAACATCACATGCACAGGGGAGTGTGTGTGGGGCAAGTCGTCTCAGGAAATATCATAGTCTCGTTCTCCAGACCATATAAACGTGTGATCTTCTGAGCATAACTGAAGCAGTCCTGCAGAAATCCACTGAGAACACATTAAGATCCTGCGTTTCACCGGACTGACTGAAACAGACCTCTTTTTGATTGGTCATTACCAAACCTTCAGCACTCCTCCAGGTCTCTTCTTCTTTTCTACAGATTGCAGTAAAGCAACTGTTTTTGACACGTTTTATATTCCCTACAGTACAGGAATGAAGAGCTTTAAATGCAGGCAATGGCTGTAGATGCAAGGAAAGTCAGCTTGATATCAGTCTCAAGGCTGAAAGCTCACATCTGTCTCGTGTGATGTTTATAATGTGTTTTAACATTAAACAATAAAAACAACATAAAACTGTTTTTACATCACCTACTACATGCTATCTGATCAATTGTTCAGTGCCTCATGATTGTTGTGTTTAGTTTTTAGGGTTTGGTGTTTTTAGTGCACTTCCCGTTGAGGTTGTAAGCGTGAGCACACTAGTTTATGCTCCTGATGTCAGGGTGTCTGCTGTGCAGGAGCGAAGGACGCAGAGACGCAGGAGATTCATGAATAACAGTCTTTAATTATCCAAATAAGGGGGAACACTGGGCAGGCAGGAACACACATGCAGCACATAGCATTGACATTTAACACTGGACAAGGGAACATAGCACAAACCACACTTTAAATACAGGACGAAACAAGGGTAATTGACAAGACACACCTGAATCAAATGAACACAATCAACGAGAGACAGAAAAACTGGGTCACTGAGAGCAGTCCCAGGTACACAATAAGCTCACCCTCAGCCATGGTGCAGTGGGCAGAGCTCCTCTCCGCACTCTCGCTGTCCACGGCCTTCTCCCTCGTGGCGAGCAATGCAGCTGGCTCTCGCACCTGGTCTGATGTCACTTGAAGCTCGGGCTCCGCGGCGATCCTCAGCTCTGTCGTTCCGTGCGGCGGGCTCGGGCTTTGGCTCCGTGCAGCGAGGTGATGGTGGGCTGGGCTCTGGGTCTGGCTGTACTCTGGATCGGGGCCGGATGCTCTCCAGACAACGGATGATCAACAGGGCGATGGTAATTTGCCCCGATCCAGAAAAGTGAGTTCAGCGCAGCGTCGTCGAATGCCGTTAAAACGGCGAGTTGGCTGAACTCAACCACATACTTCAAGATGGGCAGGTCCTTATGGGCTACGGCTGTGAATTTAGCGGCGAGGGGATCCACTGGGGGGGGAAAAAACAAAACACGGAAAACAAACGGAGGGGAACATGCAATATACTTCTTTTTGTTGGACCAGTGTTCTGTCAGGGTGTCTGCTGTGCAGGAGCGAAGGACGCGGAGACGCAGGAGATTCATGAATAACAGTCTTTAATTATCCAAATAAGGGGGAACACCGGGCAGGCAAGAACACACACGCAGCACATAGCATTGATGTTTAACACTGGACAAGGGAACATAGGGCAAACCACACTTTAAATACAGCACGAAACGAGGGTAATTGAAAAGACACACCTGAATCAAATGAACAATCAACGAGAGACAGAAAAACTGGGTCACTGAGAGCACATGGGGAGGAAAACATACACACAGACAGTCCAGAAGCATGACACCTGAAGGGCTGAGACACACCTGACATTATTGTTCAGTTTGACTCATTAATGAAGACTGTGTTGCATCCGTTCTGAATCTGAATCACACACACATGGGATCGGTGTGTATTGTTGTCAGTGGATGAACTCTGCTCAGATCTTCAGCTCCAGATTTTTTTCTCTTAATGACTGAAACATGTTACATTACACTCATTACACTTGAAATCTACGTGCTGTTGTTTAATTAAGTTTGTTGTCATTAATATTTCCAAAGGCGTGTGGTATCAGAAATCATTAGTCCCAGTGAGGACGGTGAGGTCCGAGACGGTCACTAGAGTGAACAGTGCTGTTTGAGTAGAATCTGATCTAGTCAGTATTTAACATGAACACAGATGAAACCCTTGTTGACCTGTGGGTCACACATAGACAGATTAGACTGAGAGCGGATATCAGGTGAAATGTGAGGCAGGAGGAGGTTCCTGAGGAGTGTGTGTGAGTGTGCGTGTGTGTGTGTGAGACTGACCCACAGCTGGTCGTCGTGTCCTGGAGGACTCTTCTTGATGAAGGCGCCGTAATACGTGGCGATGTTTCTGTGATGAGAGTATTTCTTCAGCATGTTAATCTCCAGCTTAATCTCCTCTTCTTCATCCTGAGCACACACACACACACACACACACACACAGCAGGAGTTTGTCTGAGTACAGATGTGCAGTACTTGTGCTCAGTGCTCCTCCTGTTGTTTATGGATTCATACACTACCTTTCTTGACCATTTCATAATACTTGTTTGATTCATTGGTTTTGTTGAACACACTGATGTGAAAAGCGTGGCTCTGTGAGTTGTGTGCACTTACTTCAGTCACGTCCATGACTTTGATGGCCGCCAGCTGCCCGGTTTTGACATGTCGACCCTGATCAGAAACACAGAGCAAATCAGTTAGAGAGAAGAACACGATACGCACGCTAACGCATCTGTGTGCAGCTACATGGGCGTTAGCATGGATGACAGCAGGGTCAATGACGCTAAATGTGAACGGACGTAGTTCCTTCACTGTGAACAGCACTGATCCTGACAGCTGAGGGAGCGTCTCGAGGACAGACTCTCGACTCTGACCTCGTGTGCTTCAGACACAGAGAAACTCACAAACAGCAGACCGCTTCGGTGTGTTCTGATCAGCGGCTCAGGCTGCTCTGCTAAACGAAATAAATAGCTTCAACCAGCAGAGATAACGTTAAGAATATCTCAGATCGGAGTCCATGAGACGGAGGAAAGAATGAGAAATATAACAAACAGCAGCAGCACAAAACTAACTGACGCTAATGGAAGAACAATCACAAATTAACAGGACTGTGCATTATTTATCAACAACTCAACAGCCCATCATCAATTTTCTTGTCCTTTTCTGCAGGTTTTACACAAACCTTTATGTCTATTTGGCTTTCACAATTTCAGCTGTTCTCTTACCCGTGTTTCTGCTGTAAATAATGAACAGTGAGGTTAAACTACATCAGATCTGAACTGATATACAGCAGAAATTGATGAGTTTCACAGTCATTTCCCTCTTTATTACTGTTTGCTGCTTTGAAAGGATCTGTATTGTATAAAGTTCTCTATAAATGAATATAACTTGTCCTGATAATGACGGGGTGTGTTATGCCGAGTTCACACTGCACGATTTTCACACTCGTCGGATCGCCGTTGTTTTCACACTGCGTGACTATCTGGGGTAGCATTCAGTTGCTGCTGTGTTCACACTGCACGATGGATCGGCGACAGGAGGTTACACACTGCATGACTTCACAATAGGAGGAATCGCCGACAGCTCTGTCTGGTGCAGGGTTGCCAGGTTTTCGCTACAAAACCCGCCCAATTACTACTCAAAACTAGCCTGAAAATAGCCAAATTGCTTTCGAGGGGGTCCCCCAGTAAAAATCGCGTTTGGGGGGTAAACATTCCAGGGCCTAAATATCACGTTATTGGGGTCGCTTCAACCTGCTGACATAAAAAACAACCGGCGGCAATCGCGGATTTTGCAACACTGGTCCGCAAACTACGTTTCATATAACTCCTCCCCAAACTTCCCTCTGCCCTGTATCTTGGTCTCTCATTGGCTGTAGGTCATCGCCGATGTGTTTTTCAGTCAGAACTCATTTCACACAGCGTGATTGTGAATCACCGACAGCTCCAGATATTTAGCATGCCAAATATTTCACGGGCGTCAGCAATTCCCTCAGATCGCGTCTTTGATAATTCACACTGCGTGATTGTAACTCGCGTGAACGAGCACCGATTTGCCTCCGATTTCTGGCATTTGTCGGCGATTTCGCAAAACCTGCCGGCGAGTGAAAAATCGGGCTAAAATCGTGCAGTGTGAACTCGGCATTAGCTGCTAAACTAGCATCGACTCATCATAACAGGCTTCATTTCTTCAGAAGACTCGGCTCTGCTCGTCAAACTACAGACAGAATCGAGTCGCTCAGGTTTATCATCCTCTGCCATGACAAATCCACCGGCTGTGGCATTTCAACATTAATTCAGCCTTACTGCTGGTCAGAAACTCTTTTATTATTATACTTTAATTCTTGCTGAATTGAATCTCTTTTTTTGTCAAATCTCCATTCTCATATATCAGTTCTAGGTGGGGATTTTAACTGCGTGACGTGTCACTGGCTATATATTTATACTCAATAAAAACATACAGCACTTTAACGTGCAGCAGTTATCATCAAAAGTATGGTGTTTGTTTTCATACCTGATCTATCAGTGTTTCAAAGAGATTTGGGAACTAGACCTTTCTATTCCTATTTCAGATGACCAGTGGTCATACATCTTATATCGTAGTGCTGGGCGGTATACCGGTTCATACCGAATACCGGTGTTTATTTTTGTTACGATATGAATTTTTAAATATACCGCAATACCAGTGTATGTCTAGAGGTCGACCGATTGATCGGATTTTTGGCATTTTTTAATTAATCGGCATCGGCCGATTATGCTGCAAATTAGGCCGATTTATAGGCAGGCGCATCTGCGGGCAGCTAAGCGTTGTTGCAGAACGCCGGAGAATCTCTCTCTGGCTGCGTGAGAGACGGAGCAGCTCACACTCTGCAGCCGCTTCTTGTTCACACACAGCTTCAGCTAATGATGGCAGGGCAAAACAGACCGTTTCGAAAGCGTAACTATGTTTTACCCTACTAGAATTGATGCCGGAACGTTATCATATTCATAAGTGCAAGTCATTTGCATGTGAAAGTAGAAACATATGCAATTCAGACGAAACTTCTGGGCTGATTATAACGTGCATGATAACTTTCCTCATGAAATGTGTGTGTGGGTCCGACAATAGCCTCCACGATGTCATCGCTCGTGGCCAGCGCACTCTTAAGCAGTTATGAGCAGCATTCTGTGTAATATGTGTGAACTCTTTTATTTTTGTTATCACTTGGCCATTTGACTTATAGAAGTGTCCAGTGTTTCCCATACATTGAGTTATTTGTGGCGGCTTGTCACAACAGACGGACCGCCACAAATAGATTTTCCAAAAGGCTTATGCTTCATTGAATAAACGGAGCACTGCACGTTTCAAAATTAAAATGCAGCGCGGGTGTTTTTATATGAATGTATCTGTGAAAAGAACCGACCGTCTTCAGAAAAGCTTCTATGTCATTTTCATTTCGTCTTTCCTGTAATGCCTGATAAAGTAG